AAATAAATAGATTCCTAAAAGTTCCTCGCATATGGTGTTGTTTTGGTTGACTCGGAAATTGACAGCCTTACCATCAATCGGTAGACCGAATAACATGTACACCTCCTCTAGTGTGATTGTACATTCACCACATGGAAGATGAAAGGTGTGAGTTTCGGGTCTCCATCTCTCCACTAATGCGAGAATAATTTTATAGTCAACATGGTAATTGACTATGTTGAGTAACGGACCAAAACTAGCATGTCATGAGTACGGTTCAATTTGAACGTCGTAAGGGACATACTCATGGACACGACAACTAAATCTTTTAACATCCTATTAAAAACACGAATTACATATAAGAAATATAAGATTTGCGTATAACAATCATAAGAATTACAGATACACTTACAACGGTTTCAATGTTGTTGAGAGTTCCTCTATGTAGATCATCCATGGTCAAGAGAGACATTTTTTCTTGATTACTCTTGTGTTGTTGTTGATGTTTCAAGAAAGAAATAGTGTGAGTTATGATTGTGATGAACATATAGGGTGAATGTTACATGTATTTATAGGAAAATATTGAATAACATTATGCATTCACGTGACAATACTTTGCATACAAGATATACACATAGGCGCCACCCTTGGTGGTGCATGCTCTTGTTTAATACACATAGGCGCCACACTAGGTGGTGCATGCTCTTTTTGATACACATAGGCGCCATTCAATATGGCTTGTTACTTTTTGCATGCATGCAAACCTGCAGCGTGGCAGGGATTAGATGGCATGCATGTAAGTTTGTTATTCAATGACAAGCCACCCTAGGTGGCGCATGCATGCAAAAAGAAGAGGATGATGTTGTTCGAAACATGTTTCGAACTCATGAACAATCTAGGTTCAATGAGATTGAGTTGTATGTTTTATTACAATAATCAGATCAATCTCAGGTGGGAGATCCTTCTCAATACTTTGAAGAAGAGGATGAATCTGACGAGGACAACAATCCCGAAGTCGATGTTATTGACCAAGAATAAGATAATGAGGCAATGATTGATTTTATGGTCAATGATGACGCTGCAGATTAAGAGCATGAACTTGTACCTACGAGTCATGCGTACGAACCTCCGTTTCACATGACGAACTTGAACTTGGGGGAAGATGAACCAACCTCAGATATCTTTCACAATCCTTATATGTATACCGAAGGGGCCTTGAAAGTTGGAGACAGATTTCGAACAAAAGAAGAGTGTCTTAGAGCTATCAAAAAATACCACACATAAATTTTAGCTGACTTCACTATAGATAAAAATGATTCAGGGAGGTACGTTATTTTATGTCATCGAAAACCAATTTTCCCTTTTCGGTTAACTGCATCTTATAGAAAGAGAAGTGATTCATGGGAAATAGGTTCCATCGATCCACTCCACACTTGCATCACCACTGTTTTGACGCAGGATCATCAAAAACTTAGTTCTCAACTAATATGTCAAGAAATCTTGCCTCTTATTAGCAAGGATCCATCATTAAAGGTGAGTACAATTATTTTTCATATCGCTACTAGATTCAATTGTACTCCCTCTTACAGGAAGGCATGGATCGAGAGGACTAAGGCAATTGAACTTGTGTATGGTAATTGGGAGGAATCGTACAAAGAACTTCCAAGATTTTTGGTGGCACTCAAATATTATGCTCTGGGAACTGTTATAATTTTGGAGACACTCCCGACATTTACCCCAGACATAACCCGTGTTAGTGGAAATGGAATATTTCATCAATTGTTCTGGGCATTTGAACCATGCATCAAGGGTTTTGCATTTTGCAAACCTATTATACAGATTGATGGAACTTGGTTATACGGGAAGTATAAAGGAACATTACTCATGGCAGTGGCACAAGATGGGAACAATAATGTTTTTTGGATCGCCTTCGCTCTAGTTGAAGGTGAGACAGGTGGTGCATGGAATTTATTTCTGAAGAATCTCCGATTACACGTTGCTCCTCAATCCAACCTTTGTTTGATTTCAGACAGACATCCATCGATTGTGAGTGCATACAATAACCCTGATAACGGTTGGCAGGATCTCCCTTAAACACATGTCTATTGTATTAGACATATCACACAAAGCTTCACGCTCCATATCAAAGACAAGACACTTCGAAAGAAAGTTGTTAATGCAGGGTATGCCTTAACAGAACCATCATTCCGACACTATCGCGAGGAAATACGGTTGGCAAACTCAGAAGCATTAAGGTGGATCGATAACATTCCAGTGGAGAAGTGGACTCAGGCATTTGAAAATGGTCAACGATAGGGCCACATGACAACAAATTTGGTGGAATCATTGAACTCTGTCTTCAAAGGCATCTGAAACCTACCAATTACTGCTTTGGTTATAGCAACATATTTTAGGATGGGGTCATTGTTTGACACAAGAAATTCAAAATGGAGGGCAATGTTACAATTAGGGCAGTTGTTCAGTGAATGCACGATGAAAGCATTTAACGAGGAGGCTGTGAAAGCAAACACCCATAGTGTCACCGTGTTTAACCATATTAAAGGTTGGTTCAGTGTACAAGAGACAATGGATCATAATGAGGGGAGGCCAAGGGGATATTATCGGGTCGAACTAGATAGAGGTTGGTGTGATTGCGGAAAGTTTCAAGCATTTTGCATGTCTTGCTCTCATGTCATAGTGGCATGCTCGCATGTTCGCTTGGACCCAATACAACATATATCCGCCGTGTACACAGTAAAGAGCGTTTTAAGTGTGTACATCAATACCTTTTCTGTGTTGGCAAAGGAGGATTATTGACCTGCTTATCAAGGGGACATTGTTTGGCACAATGAACAAATGCGACGGAAGAAAAAGGGGCGCCCGAAAAGCACTCGTATTAGAACTGAAATGGATACGACCAACAAAATGATAAGATTATGCAGTACATGTCGTCTTCCCAGACACAATCGAAAAAATTGTCCGAATATTGGGTCTAGCTCTGCAACCTAACTTTTTTATAGCAAACTTTCCCGAGTGGTTAATTTGTTGTACGCAATATATTTCAATTTAAATTCGGGTTATCATTTTGTGTTCAATTTATCATTCAATTACATTAACCTTCACATAATGACACAAAAAATTACAACACCACAAACTCAGGACAACAACACAACAACATGATAAATAGACAAAACAACTAAACAAATCATAATATCTAAGAGATAAAAATCATCAATACAATATTGTCTGATCCAAGCATCATTATCATGACATCAGCGTTGCATCTCACCTTTTTCCATGATCGGCTTACTCTATTTTCGTTCCTCACTGTAATTTGCCTTTCTATTTTTCTGATATGTTCACCTTCAGGAATGTCTCATTCCAACCAGCGAATCAAGTGTCTCTGAAAATGCTCGAACGTTCGCGTGTTCTAAAGTTTGATATTCACCGGAGGCTTTATCGCCGAAAAAATAGCATGCGCATCTCTTTTGATCAGTGAAAACCTTGGCAAGGGAGTTGAAGACATTTTCTAAGAGTTATGTGACAAATGGTGTGAAAAAATGAAGATGATGGGTGGTTGCATTTATAGAAAATCATATAACACTGTCAAGCCACACTAGGTGGCGCCTCCTCTTTAAACATACATGCATGCGCCACACTGCATGGATTTACAAAGGAGGACAAACTATTCAGTGTGGCGCCTCCTCTCTAAATAGCATGCATGCGCCACACATAGTGGCTACTCTTCTATGTGGCGATTTTTGTTTTGTTTGGAAAGTGGTTAATTTAGTAAAATTTTTTAAAATGTGATTATTTAAGAATTTTTAAAAAAAATGTGATTATTTAAAAAAAATCATACTCATGATTCTGTGTGCATTTTTAATAGTATTACCACTTAATCTATTAAAATAAATAAATTATAATCATACAGTTGGAATAGATTTAAAACAATTTTAAAAATTAATTTAAAACACAATTTAATATCAATGATTTTATAATAGTCAATTTAAGACCTGTTTGTTTCAACTTTAAAATAATAATTTTTTTTTGTATTTTTAAAAATAAAATTTATGAAATTGTTTCTTAAAATATTATAAAAAAAATTATATTTATTTTTTCTAAATTGAAACACTACTTTTAATATTCTATAACATAAATATACAATATTGAAGATCAAAATATAGTTGAAATTATAATTTTTTTAAAAATTTTATTTTAAAAATAATTTCTATAAAAAATTATTTGAAATAACTTCAAAATTAAGTGATTTTTTAAAATTTTAATATCTAAAAAAAGTTTTATTAAAATGATAAAATATTTAAAATAAGATTTTAAGAATAACTATTCAAACTAATTTTTATTAAATGTTTTTATGAAAAAAAAATTTATAAATTTTTTTTACACAATTATATTATACTATAAAAATTATTTTTAAAAAAGTCAAAATAAACTGGTCCTTAAACACATTTTAAAAAATTTTTTAATCCGTTTGTGATTTGTATTTAGATTAATTGTGATATGAAGATTTAATTAAATTAAAATTTTAATCTCTTTATTAAAATTGGACAGTGATCGTTTTGGGTTAGACTAGGGTCTAATATGTCAATCCGAACTAAATCATGGGTGCAATTTGCAGACCCAATTTCGATTGAATTTATGATTGCTTTGATCGGATTTGATTAAATCGATTTGTCAGATTGGTTTACTTAGTTAATTGTATTTAATATTTGGAAATAAAATACTATTAAATATATAATTTGAGCCTTCAAATTCTGGCCTTCAAATATTGCAAAGGGCCTTCAAAATATTATAAATAGTTGAACTTTCATCAAACTATAATATTACAATATTAGAGACCATTCAAGCATTCTTGGTCAATAAACATGTAATAAGGCACAAAGCCACAAGACCACTAACTTTTGTATAATGATCAAAGTTACCTAATAGATATAAAATATAATACAGCAAATAGATCAAAATATAGCTTCTCAATACAATGTAAATATTACAGTCATCCAAATTTAATTCTTCAAATCAAATATCATTGATAAACAGAGTAGATGAAGCTGAGTTGCCTCTATATAATCACTTATCCCCCTTGTGTTGTCATTGGTTTGTTGAGTCAAGTTTTCTGATATAGAAAAGAATCTTAGGACAAAACCAACTCCACTTAAAATTCTATACATAATAAATTGAATCATTTCCCATAAACATCAATTAAACAAGAATTAAGGTGCAAAACCTTCCAAAGTACCTTGTTCAGTCTGCTGGAAATTGATTTTCAAGGCTAATAAACCTCTCTAAAAATGCAGGTATGCTTACAAAACACACAAATCTGTCAAAAAAGAAAATCAGCTCCACAAAATCTTAAGAACGATTTAAACCAAGTCAATCACATAATTGATTCAAGTAACAACCATCAACAAGCACCACAACCCGCAACAAATTCACCATTTGCTGTCTGTCACAAAATACCAAATTTTATGATTGGATGAAAATGTAACTGATCAAATAAGTGTTTCTAATATGGCATAATTATTAAGTAGGAAATAAATACTGCTAACTATACTAGTTATTAAGTAACAATGCAAAGGATTAAATTATAACTAATCAATAGAAGGAGAAAGAGAACAAGTATGAAAGAATGAAGCTTACATGATCGGTGGTGGCGAGGTGGTGTGTCGCGGCGGCTACAACTCGAGGTTGAAGAGAGAACGGGTGTGTTTGTCAATGAAAAGGAAAAGAAAACCTCGAAAACTGAATGTACTGATCCAGAGTTAGACCAAGTCTACTACTAAACTCAGAATAATTGACATATTGAGCCGGTCTGTTATGGATATGGATATCATCCTTGATTTAGTAGGTCAAGGGAAATCCTCTTTAGAATGTAAGATAAGATGAGAGTTTATTTTGAATTATCTTTTCCCTTTCATTCATGAGAAAAAATATATTTTATAGTTTTAGTTTTGGATCTAAATTTAACGTGATAAAATAGAATCTCATATTTTAAGGAGTGAAATATTTGATCCAGTTAATCGGAAAATCTAAGACAGTTAATAATTGATCATAACAAACTTTAGAAATTTCTTTTATATTTTGGCATCTTGTGCTATTAGTCTTCAAATTTGTTAGGCCTTTTGATGGTTTTTTTGGGCCTGTTTGGAGCTACTGTTAATGTGCTTAAGTCCATAGTAGTTTTGGGTCTTGGTTCTGCAGTTAGGCTAATAATCCTTATTGCTTGAGAAGACACATTGTCCTCAAGGTGATAATCAAAGCAGAGATTTTCTCAGGACTCCCAACTCGTGTCTTCTGGTGCCAGACCAGACCACTGTACCAGTGCCATTTTAGTTGGAGGGTTTGTGCATGTATCAAATTTGGTGTCAAGAATTGTCAAGGGTGTGATAATGGGGTGATGATAAATGGAAATTTGTGGAATGGTAGTGATTGTAGAAATGGGATCATGGTGTAATTTGAGTAGTGAACAATGGAAAATAGGGTGGATTTTGGAATTTGCTGGAAAGTCAAGTTTATAGACAACTTTTCCAATTTTCTGTAGTATCTTAAAAAGGACCATAAAATCTTTTGGAAAGTTTGGTGTAAGGAGGATTAGTAGCTGTTTTCTGGCCATAGGGGCGCATACAGACATAAACATAACAGCCTTCGGTGAATGCGATGTCTCTTTGATGTTTGTCAGTGTTAAGTTTTATGACAGATTGTGCTTTGAGTATTTTGGCTTTGAGTTTGGTGATAAGCTGTTGGCGGCAAGTGAGTAAGGAATCTACTGCTTCAATGGAAGATTGTCCTTGTATATATTGGGGTATGGATGGAGGTTCCTTGCCATATGTGATTTGGTATGGTGTAAGTCTTGTAGTAGAGTGGACAAAAGTGTTATGGGACCATTCAGCCAAGGAAAGATAACTGGACCATTGGGATGGTTTATTGTGAACAAAAGATTGTAAGTATTGCTCGAGAACTCAGTTAAATACCTCTGTTTGACCATCACTTTCAGGGTGGTAGGCGATGCTCATGCGTAATTTGGTACCACAGAGGGAGAAAAGTTTGCGCCAAAATTTGCTAATGAATAATGGATCACGGTCAGATACTATACTCCTTAGCATACCATGTAGTTTGCACACAATTTCAAAGAAGACAGTGGCTATCTTGTGGGCAGTAAAATTAGGATTTAATACAGCCAAATGTACGCCTTTAGAAAGGCGATCTACTGCGACCAAAATTGGATTGTGGCCTTTAGAAAGTGGTAATCCAGTGATGAAGTTGAGAGAAAGATCCTCCCAAATGGCCTGAGGAACTGGGAGGAGTTGTAAGAGGCCTGGTGGTTTTTTTGTTTCGTATTTGACTTGTTGGAAAATGGCACGGGTTTTAAAAAATTCTTGTACTTGGTATCTCATACCTTCCCAACGAAAATTGGCTTTCAAATGGGCTAAGGTTTTGGAGAATCCCATGTGTCCAACTGTAGGAGAACTATAGAATTCTTCTAAGAGTGTGTGACAAAAGGAAAGGGGGTGATGAAGCCAGATGCAGTTATTCAATAAAATGAGGCCTTGGTGAATTTTATGGTTAGGAAATTGGGAAGGTGTTTGTGAAATTTGGTTGTATAGTGAGGTGAAATGGGGATTAGTAGCCAATGCTATTTTTAGTTGCTCTAAAAATAAAAAAATTAGGCATAGATAGATAGATAGATAGATAGAGAGAGAGAGATATGTGTACCTAAGATTGTGTCTGGAATGCGAGAGAGTGTCTGCAACTAAATTAGATTTCCCTGTCTTGTACTGAATCGTGTAATCATATCCCATGAGTTTGGCTAAGTAAATCTGATGCTCAGGTGTTTGTATGGTTTGTGTAAGGAGTTCTTTAAGGCTCTGGTGGTCAGTATGAATGATGAATTGGTGACCCAAAAGGTATTGCCTCCTTTTTTAACGGAAGTGGTGATAGCGTGGAGTTCACGGACACATGTAGAAGCCTTTTTAAGTTTGGGGAAGAAGGGTTTGTTGAAGTAGGCAATGTGGTGTGAGTTTGGCATTAAGATTGTGCCCATAGCAAGGCATGAAGCATCGGTTTCTAGGAAAAAAGGTTGTGCGAAGTTTGGGAGTGCTAGAGTACGATAAGAGGTGACAGAAAGTATTAGGGCGTCAAAGGCTATGAGATGTGTAGCAATGGATGCATATCCTTGAATGAACTTGCGATAAAACCCGATAAGTCCTAAGAATCCTCTTAAGGCTATGATGTTATTGGGAAGGGTCCAGTCTAGTATGGCTTGTATCTTAGAGGGTTCAGGTTTAACATCTTCGAAGGAAACAATGTGGCCCAAGTAGTTCAAACTGCGTTGAGCCAATAAGCACTTAGATTATTTCAGAACATACTCACCTTGTAGTAGAGTGAGGAAAACACATTCAAGGTGTTGAATATGATCATTCAATTTTTTGCTATAAACGAGGATGTCGTCAAAGAAAACCGTGACAAATTTTTGCAAGAATGGTTGTAAGAGTGTGTTCATGGCTGCTTGGAAAGTCGAGGGTGCGTTGCAGAGCCTGAAGGGCATAACACAAAATTTATAATGGCCCTGGTGTGTTTGAAATGTTTTCTTAGGTATGTCAGCTAGGTGCATTTGAATTTGCTTAAAGCCTTGTCAAAGGTCTAGTTTAGAAAACCAATAGGCATTTCCTAACTCATCAAGTAATTCATCAATGGTTGGCATGGGGAAGTGGTCACAGATAGTGATGGTGTTGAGGGCTCTGTAATCGATGCAGAAGCGCCAACCCACATCTTTCTTTTTGACAAGAAGTACTAGGGATGAGAATGGACTTTAACTAGGTTGGATGAATTTAGTGTTAAGCATAGTTTGTATTTGGTGTTCAATCTCAGTTTTCTGGAAGTAGGGGTAGCGGTAAGGGAGAGTGTTCATGGGGTTGGAGTTGGGTAAGATATTGATGTAGTGATCAACATCACGTTTTGGGGAAGTTTGGGTTCTGAATTGAAGAGTTTAGAGAAATGAGTAATTAGGGATTGTATTTAAGGGATAAATTATGGGGGAATTGGGTCGAGTTTTGGATGTGGGTTGGTGGGTAAGATTTTGTAGTTGGAATAGTTCAGTTGTGGAATGGGTTTGGATTAGGCGTTTAACTTGATGGGTCGAAGCTTGAGTTATTTTGGCCTTTTTGTCAGCAATGAGGGTGATGTGTTTATTTTGGTGGGTAAAGGATATATTGAGATTAGTATAGTCCATGAGTACAGGCCCAATAGCTTGTAACCATGGGGCTCCCAGTGCTACGTCAGCTCTACACAATTGGAGGACATAGAAATCAATAGAATTTCTCAATTTGGAGAAGTAAAGGGACAGTGGCGCAGAAACGGTTACAATCGAGGTTCTCACTGTTGTCGACCATGACTTTAAGGTTGGTGGTTCGAATTGAAGGAAGTTCTAGAAATCGGGAGATGCGATCTTGAAAAAAATTGTGTGTACTTCCTCCGTCAATTAATACGTTGCCTGGGTGGTTGGAGATGTGTCCACTGAGACGGGTAGTTGAGGCGGCTGCACACCCTGAGATTGCATGTAAGTTGATTTGAGCTTATGTAGGAGTGTTGTTCTCAATGGTGGAAGGTTCCTAGTCGAAAACAATAGGTGTGACATCGAATAGATCAAAGGTAGTGTCGGGTGGTTCTTCACTAATAAGCAGAAAAAATCGGCCTTTGCACTTGTGTTAGGGGAGGAAGGTTACATCGCAGTTGTAGCACAACCCTTTTTTGCGGCGAGAAGCCATCTCTTTTGGTGATAGTTTTCTGTAGTTAGGACGTGAAATTGGTTTGGGGTTTGGAAGTAGCGGTGGTAACTATGGTGTGGGTGTAGTTGAGTGATTTGTGGAGGGTGTGGGTTATGGTGTGGAAGTTTTGGATTTGAAGAAACATTTCCGTTCTTCGATTTTGTCTTCTTGGAGTTTGGGTAAGGAGGTGGCTTGGGTTAGTGAGTATGGTCGGAGTGCCTAGACTTCACGACGGATCTCCGGTGACAGTTCAGAGATGAAATAGCTGATTAAAAAAGGTTGGGGAAGACCAATGATTCTGTTGGCGAGACGCTCGAATTCTGCAAGGTATTGGTTGACGGTGGAACGTTGGACGAGTTTGAAAAGGGAGCTGGAGGGATCGTCGTAATATGAGGAAGCAAAGTGACTTTCTAGTGCTTGCAAGAATCCAGTCCAGGTGGTGATTTGGCTGTTGCGGAACATCCATTAATACCAACTGAGAGCGGAACCGTCCATATAGAATGATGCAACGGTGAGGCGTTCTGCTGCTGGGGTTTAGTGATAATCAAAAAATTGTGAGATTTTGAAGATCCAACCCGGACATTCTGCACCGTCAAATTTCAAGACATCGAGCTTCATTCTAGGCGCGGGGAAACGAATGGCGTGGTGGTTTAGGTGTGTAGGTGATGTGGGTGGTGAAGGTGGTGGTGGTGGTGGAAAAGAGGTGAGAACTGCGATTTGTTTAGCTAGGGCATAGATTTTGGATGAAAGATCATCGAATCTTTCTGCATTGGTGGGTCTGTTTTCCATGGGAGGTGAGTAGGAGCAATGAGAGCACCAATTTGTTATGGATATGATCATTGATTTAGTACGACAATGGAAATCCTCCTTAGAATGTAAGATAAGAAGAGAGTTTGTCTTGAATTATCTTTTCCCTTTCATTCATGAGAAAAGATACATTATATAGATCTAGCTTTGGATCTAATTCTAATGTGATAAAATAGAATCCCACATTTTAAGGAGTGGAATATCTAATACAACAAATTTGTTAGGCCTTTTGATGGTTCTTTTGGGCCTGTTTAGAGTTGTTGTTAATGTGCTTGAGTCCATAGTAGTTTTGAGCCTTGGTTATGCAATTGGGCTAACACGGCCGAATTCAATTTTTGATGGGATGAAATTAACCATCCGAAATCGACTGCCCAAACCCATGTAAAACCATTTAAATCTAAATTGATTATCCGAAAAATCGTCCAAATCCGAACCGTGCTTTGCGGGCCTTGTGGATAGGTCAGATTAAGTCGGTTATAAATTTTTTATCCATCCTTACTCTTATCCTTAAGTTGGTAAGAGTCGCATCAATTTGGATGTCATATATAGTATTATGTTAAAAATATTCAGAAGTTAGAATATATTGTACTTGTAGTATTGGTTTAAACCAACAATTACACTATTTTTACAATTTTTCTTGCATTGTACGGTAGTGTTCAATTATACTCAAATATATCAAAGGACAATGAACAGTGGCGTGAACAATACATGAATAATGCTTTGTGAACAATGTCAGTAAATAGTATATGAATAGTGA